TATTTTTTCCAGTAGTAATTACCATTGAATTTGTGTGATGGCTGGGATACTGTCCGGGTAACCAAATCGAAGCAGGTGGCTTTCTTAGCGAGCCACACCCCGAATCTTTTACCTAAAGGTCTAACCTACAGGGCAGTGGAGAATACTAGGAGATGCAGTCCCATGGCAGCCGGTGACCAACAATAGGTTCATATTCCGTTTGTTCCCTCAGGACCCTGGAGCTCATTTGCACCATTGGTTTGGAGTCAGGGTTTTTAAACCCCCCTAGGTGGAACCTCCGTGTCCACCAGCCCAGTTAAAGTGCCGGACATTCGTTTTTCATCCTCTCTATTCCGTAAACAACACTACCACCCCGTGAAAGCAACGATTAGGACTTTCTTGGCAGTGGCGAGACCAATCGAGGGCATTTCGAAAGGGAGAGCGAGCTCTCCTCACTCTCGGCCGTACCATGGCATTTGGGGGCTCTTTGAAAGAGTTCTAAAATGCAAAATAAACGATAAAATCACCAAGGATTGTGGCGTTACATGGTTAATGAATGTATTAGAGCTAGCTATCGATAAACTAGGCTAGAAGTCACTGTACCGTAACCCTAAAATCCGTATCCGAGCAATTTATTCCACGAAAAAATCCAGTCATTTAATAATATGAAATATAGTCAATATCGTATTTTCCAGCAACAAGTTATCGATTATCCTTTGAATTCCCACTGATAGTTACCCTCAGTTATCTTAATTTTGATTGGTCGCTCATGGCTATCGGTGTAGTATTCTAATTTTACCTTTTTTGTTATAGAGTAGAAGTATTTATGTTAAAGACATCAAATGTTCACTTATTGCTATGTAAATTTTGCATAACATGTAAATCGATCAATTTTTGTATCAATCTACTGCGTTTATAGTAAACTCATAGAGGAGTAATTTTGTTAGTGGTTGAGTGAATAATCACAATGATAGGCGAGTTGATGAAGTAGAAGAATTTTAAAATAGGCGATCTTCACATGTGATTGTTTTCTGATAATTCCATCACAGTTTCCTCATTTATCAGATATGATCTTGAGACAGCTTGATGTCTGTATGGGTATTGTCTAATGATCAGTAAGAAATGAACTTTACAGAGGAAACTAACGAACTTAATCCCATTAGTAAAAATTATACTCACCCTTCCAACATAGAAATTTGTGTCGTTTGGAGAGTATGTTGTAGTTGTACAGGATATGTATGGTAAACTTAATCATACTAAAACATCGATTGTTTTTAATAAAACATTCTATTCAAACTCATGGTTATGTTTCTGTCACTTTGATACCTGGTTGCAAATAACAGTCTTTAATTAAATAAGTCTAGTTTTCCATATAAATAAATATATTATCCTCTAGGAGAGTAATTGCCATCAAATGTCGACTACACCTATGATCTTTACAACACTTATATGAAAATAATTTATACGGCATTAGTATGTAGTGTTTATTTAGTTTTTATGCATGCTATAGTCTACATGAATAATTTTTTCAAGTATTATTCGTTTTGGGTTTAACTCCGTTCACGGTCTTAGATTAACATTGCTAGTCTTAAAACATGTTATATATAACTGATTTCCATTGCTTACCGACATCTCACCATAAATAACTTAAATTCCCGAAATATTTTGAATGTACCCTTTGTGTTCACTTTCTTTATTATTATTATTATTATTACTTACTTACTTACTTACTTACTTACTTACTTACTTACTTACTTACTTACTTACTTACTTACTTACTTACTTACTTACTTACTTACTTACTTACTTACTTACTTACTTACTTACTTACTTACTTACTTACTTACTTACTTACTTACTTACTTACTTACTTACTTACTTACTTACTTACTTACTTACTTACTTACTTACTTACTTACTTACTTACTTACTTACTTACTTACTTACTTACTTACTTACTTACTTACTTACTTACTTACTTACTTACTTACTTACTTACTTACTTACTTACTTACTTACTTACTTACTTACTTACTTACTTACTTACTTACTTACTTACTTACTTACTTACTTACTTACTTACTTACTTACTTACTTACTTACTTACTTACTTACTTACTTACTTACTTACTTACTTACTTACTTACTTACTTACTTACTTACTTACTTACTTACTTACTTACTTACTTACTTACTTACTTACTTACTTACTTACTTACTTACTTACTTACTTACTTACTTACTTACTTACTTACTTACTTACTTACTTACTTACTTACTTACTTACTTACTTACTTACTTACTTACTTACTTACTTACTTACTTACTTACTTACTTACTTACTTACTTACTTACTTACTTACTTACTTACTTACTTACTTACTTACTTACTTACTTACTTACTTACTTACTTACTTACTTACTTACTTACTTACTTACTTACTTACTTACTTACTTACTTACTTACTTACTTACTTACTTACTTACTTACTTACTTACTTACTTACTTACTTACTTACTTACTTACTTACTAATAACTAGTTTCTAGAGGTAGTTTCATGGATTTCTAGTGATAGCCTGCGACCAATAGGGTCCAGTCATGTTGGGTGTGAGCCAGATATGCCCCAATAATAATGGCATTAGAAGGTGGTCATACTAAATCACTAATTGATAAGAGCTGGAAATGTAAACGCCAACTCAGTGGTCTAGATGTTAAGTGCCCTTTGTGATACTTGAAGTCCCTGGGTTCAATCTCTGATGAGCTTGCTGATTCTCACCCCTGAGGATTCGCATACTTGGACGAAACAGTCATAATGGTTCATGGCTTTCAGCGATTGTCAAAGTAGTGTCAATGTGAATAACAAAAACTAGAAAACTGATTTTCTTATTTTAGTGAAACGTTCAACATATATTATGTAACTAAGATGTGAAGGTTTTATAATTTTTTGGCCGGTTTATTTCAAATTCCTAAAGTTTGTTTTTCTGTTATACCTTTTTTCTTTTTCATCATCTCAGCGATATGAAACTGAACGAGAAGGATGAACATGTTTGTTTCTGTTTATCAATCGGCAAACAGTTGTTTCTTTTTTGCTGTTATTAATACCTCTATTACTACCCGATTGTATAAACGGTCATAGTACTCTTAGTTTCAGTATTGTTGCGTTTTCCTTGTCAGGGTTCTATTTTCACTTTGAGCCTTTTGTACAAAAAGAATAAATGTATGTTCTGTGTGCATGTGCATAAATAAAAGTCTCTAATGCAACATAGTTTTCTCAATTGCTATTCTTATATTATCACTACTTTGGTCAACAATATGGTAGTTAATTTATATTTTTCCGGTTATAAATACGTCGTATTAAACTTCGAATCACACTCTAGTGATACCACCAATTGTTTGCCTAAACTATATTAGCTAGAATGTGATTTAAACCAACGGCTTAATGTTTGAAAGTTGAACACCTTGACTATTAAACCTTCGCTTCATTTGCCGTGATCATATTTAGTTTTCAAATAGGATCTAGGATATATATATATCAACAATGTGACAACCGTACATTATCAAGATTGAATTTTTCAATAAAGTTTGTATTCTCCTAAAAGTATTTTACGTGATTCCAGAAACAATAGTGACCAATACAAGGACACATCAATATTATACGTAATTTTTAAAATGATTATGCCATGAACTACTTGCCGCTCATTAATTAAACGGAAAGATGCGAGTAATTGCACACATTGAATACTGATGAACGGATGCACTAAACATTCATGGATATGTAACTTATTCCATCCAATTTATTCCACATCCCTTACATTAATATCAAAATTCGGAAAGTTTAAGGAAGCTTTTTGGTGGAGTTTTGTTCTCTGAGCTACAAATCTCCACCATCTTTAAGGAAGCTTCTTAAATGTGATGAGATCCATTGAGGTGAAATAAGAATAATTAACCTAACCTGAGATCATTGGTCCCATGTAATCGAACTTCTCAGCTTAAGACGTTGCCACTAAGCTATTTAGGCTGTGATTGACCTGTTAGACGGATATATTTACATTGATTGGTTCATGAGCAGTGACAGATATAATGTATGTTTAGTCTCTTAACGACGATCGAAGCTGAGTGACGTGAGATCTAAACTGTCACAGAAAACCAGTTCTCTGCAGACTACATATACACGTTTCTGATGTGTCGCGAATAGTACGAAACATATGCCTACGATTTCTCGTTCACTACCTCCAACATCTCAACATAGTTCACGCTATACCTCCCACATTGTAACGTAATCGATAGGATCCAATTGACACTAAAAAGGGTACAACATGGGGTGTGGCCCCCTAAGAAAACCACCTGCTTCGGTTTGGGCATCCGGGCAGTATCACAGCCCTCACACATATCAAATGAGATTTGTGTGGCGCATATGTATTTGGTGCCTCTTTGTACCATTATCTATGTGTTGAAATAAATAAATAAATAAACAACATTAGTTACAATTCGACGATCAATCAGTTGTATGCTGTTATATTCCTTTCTTAGAGAGGATGGCTTATATATATATAAATACATACGTTAGCAGGATGGAATTAAGAACGATTCACTGAACTGGTTATAGTTCCAAAGATCATAGTCGGTTAATAGAAATAACTCTAGCGCTGGTATACACCATTGTACTCTGATTTGCAAGATAGCAGGTAAATTTTTTATAACACAACATGAGATTAATATTTCAGTTATCTTTTTATAACAAAAACATTAATGCATACTCCTGAAAGAAATAAGACAATTCGATGTTTTGAGAGGCGAAGAACAGTAACAACATTTTGATAAATACACAATAAAAAATAAACAGAAGTCAACCAGATTAGAATAGAAAACATTAACAACCCTTTAAAGTGCCACTCAATTTCTTTTTGGAAATTCAACCGAACATGTAAGTTTAACTTAACAGATAAAAAATGACGATAGAAATGCACCAGTCAGGCTTAATCAAAATTACCATATACAATTTCACTTATAAATTTTAACATTAAACATCTGTAACATATGGATTGTAATCATAATTATTATTATGTATATCTGTAATTGGAAGGGCAATACAATCATTTTTCATCGTGTGTCCTGTGTACAATAATCGATCAGATGATTTCGATTCTTTCCGATTCATTACGACATCATGATCATCTCCATGTGATAATCTATTTTTATCATGTTTGTGTTTTATTTGTCTTTGACTGTGTAATTTTGAAGTTCTCATTGATGATCCCAACGTCGGTGAGGATGATGAGGATGATATCAATGACAATGATGCATTCGAAGAACAAGATGCGGATTTTACACGGTTTGGTGGTACTGGGGGAGGTGGTGGATGTTTATTAGTATTATTCTGTTTAGTTGATAATCTATTAGGAAATTTCTCTTCAGGATATAATGATATGTGGTAGCTTGTACATGATGTTGTTGAATTAGACAAACTCAATTGTTTTTGTCTAATCTGATCATTGGATTTAAGATAAGCGAAAGAACTTATTCTCGGTAGTTTTGGTGATTGTTGTAATGTTGATCTTATTGTTAATGGTTGTAAGATTGGTGTTGTTGTTGGTGGTTGAGACCAAGGAATAGTTGACATTTTCGTTGAATAAACATTACGATTAGAAAATGAATCTTTCAATAATGAATGAAATTCACTACCCGGTGTACTATGACGTATACTTGATTTAAATTGTTTTGGTTGTGGACGTTTCATCAGTAACACAATAATTATGATTAAACTAATCAACGCAACACTGAGAAGACAACCTAATATCAGTGTAGTCAATCGTACATTAATTAAAGGATAGTAGTAAATTGGTGGAGATGCTAATATTGCCAATTTGGGGAGGGCGATGCAGAGAAATGGTTAGAAAATTGACAGAAAAAAAATTATATCAATCAATAAAATAATATAATTTGCGGATTGTAGACGCTACAAATCGAACGGTGATCAAGTTGAGACGGGTATAATCTACAAATTAAACCAGTCTCTACAAAACCCCTTCGACTAATATCGTAATTTTAAAGTTTAAATCACAAAATGATCTTTGACCGCCGTTGAAAACCTGGAAGCACTGGATCGCCATCCGATCCTAGTGTAAGACTCGTCAGTGGTCGCATACGCGGGGATCTGAACCAAGACCGACCACGCGTCAGAGCGCTTAATCTCTAGACCGCAGAGCTAGGATTTAACGGTGTTAATGTCTAACCTCAAGCAATTCACGATCGTAATTGTTACTTATTGATAATTACTCATATGATTATGTAGGTGTAGTCACTTGCGATATTTATAACTCCTAAGTTGGAGGAATATAATGTAATGTGATGGAGGGGCGTTATACTTGTCAAATGAGATAATGAAGTGATGAATCTTTACCAAATCAGATGTTTAGGATATGTATTGCATACGATCAACAGTTTTTACATTTACAGCCCTGTCTATTCGCATTGGCATTAAAATATGATTTTAAATGTGTAGGATTATTCTGAAAATGAGCTGTGTAAATCTATTATAAGTGCCTCTTTATTTATATCAGTTGTAATCTACTATTCAGTTTATTCTAACGGCTTTGTATGAGTATTAAATTTATGGGATGTGACTAACAATAGTATCCACTGTACCTGTTTCATCCAATTTGGGATTCGTCAGGTGGACGTACCTGGATCTCAGAGTGAATTTCATCTCTGAGATATACATACACTCGGCTGGTGAGTCTTAAATAAGACGAGATACGCATCCTCAATTCCACTACTACCACATTACATTCATTCTAATACTAATTTATGTCATAATCATTGTATCAAGGCAGTCCGCTTAAGATGTCCAGTTAACCTACTTACGCCTGTTACTCTTCGTGAAGCATCATGGGCCGCTCACCAGCATTCTCCATCCAACCCTGTCCTGGGAAATCCTTTCCAGCTCCTTCCAGTTGTTATTCATCCTTTCCATATCTGATTCTGTTTCCCGACGTAATGTGTTCTTTGGCCTTCCTCTTTTCCGCTTCCCTTCAGAATTCCAAGTTACTAGGGCTTGACTCGTGATGCAGTTTGATGATTTGCAATGTATGTGATATCCATTTCCATCGTCTTTTCCTAATTTCCTCTTCAGCTGGAAGCTGGTTTGTTCTCTCCCACAAAACGCTGTTGCTGATGATATCCGGCCAATGGATGTTGAGTATCTTGCGTAGACAGCTATTTATGTAATCAATTGTTTCTAACCCTTTTGAACTGCTGTTACGATTAATGCTCTAGAATATTCTTTTACACAAAGTATATATTTACAATATTCAGTCTATTAATTTCATTTACACCCATGTCATACTTTACGAATATTTCTTCAATATAAACCCTCTCATGTAAGCAATTTAAACCCATTATGTAATTATTATCTTTTAAATACCACAGGTTGTAAGCAGCTGACGAGAACCTACGAAATAAAATGAATCCATGTTATTCTGCTAGAATCTTTGTCCTTGCTCTTTTCAAAATGATAAAGGGAACTATGTGTATGATATTTACAAATACTTGTACCTTCTTGATGATGGTTGTAGTAGTTCTGGAAGTTTCAGCTCCGTACAGTAGAACTGCCTTGACATTCGTATTGAAGACTCTCATTTTGACATTGGTTGAAAGTTGTTTTGAGTTCCATATGTTCTTCAAGTGTAGGAATGCTGTCCTTGCTTTGCTGATCTTTGCTTCTACGTCTGCATCTGAACCTGCTTGTTCATCGATGATGCTTCGCAGGTATGTGAAGGATTCTACATCCTCCAGAATTTCGCCATCAAGGGTGATTGGGTGACTTAAATAACTGGTGATTGGATTGCTGTTCTCCGTGTTGTATTTGAGGACCTTGTTTTTCCTCTTGTGTATGTTGAGGCCTACTGATGCAGAGACTACTGCTACACTGGCTATCTTTGTCTGCATCTGTTCATGTGTATGCGATAGGAGGGCTAGGTCATCTGCGAAGTCCAAATCGTCTAATTGGTTCTGAGCTGTCCATTGTATTCCGTGTTTTCCCTCAGATGTGGAGGTCTTCATAATCCATTCGACCATCAGAAGAAAGAGTAAGGGAGAGAGTAGACAGCCTTGTCTGACTCCGGTCCTTACTTGGAATGCATCTGTCAGCTGTCCTCTGTCCATGACCTTGCACTGTAGTTCATCATATGAGTTCCACCTGTAGCTGTTCTAGAGTTACTACCGATCCCAAGCCCAGGTAAAGGAGGAGGGTTGGCCATGGGGTTAGCGACCCCATCCCGTAGAAAACTAACTTGCTAAAAAAACGCTAACCAGAAAGATATACCAGTTAAGACTAACCAAAATTCAGTCAAAATATCAACAGCAGGATAATCCAATACATTACGAATGAAATTAAGCTTTACGCGCTGTTATAATTCTGATGAGAGTCAATTAACCAACATTTCATAAAAACCATGTACTGTTTTATGCTAACATTACCAATGAATTCCTCTTTAAGTGAATAGATGTTATGTAATTGAGCTCGTTTAACATGTATTTTCGTCTTTTGAGTCAACTTTATTCTCTGATATTAGTTTCTTCGTATCCCTTACTAAGTGAAGAAATCATACAAATGAGTCGTTATTGGAATTATGATGTAACAGTGACGTGCTGATAAGTTGAGCGAGCATATACATCAAATGCTTGTGAACATATGACATCTAAAAAGCAAATGGTGAGAAATTGTGAACGAGATACTCTTTTCAATAAAGCCTACCCAAATCTAAGCTTATTTATCTCGCTCAGAAGGACAATCGTTTGTGTACTTATGATTTGGATACGTTGAAATGTGATTTGGTAATTAAACCTTCCCATTCATATGACGTACATATATTGGCTAAATCGGACTGTCAATGAGTTAACCTCAGGACTTAAAGGACCTCGTTTTCGTCTTTGATGAATTTATGATGAACTAACGATATATTTTAGTCTAATTACTCGTGAATTTTTTAAACCTGCTCTTCTATTGATTACCATTGTTTGTCAGATAAAGTCTATGGCTGAGGACTCTTTTATAATGCGCGCAAAAAGTGTTCACAAACTACCTGGTACAGGTTCGGCTAATTCTTCAAAACGATATTGCCAAAATGCCATATCTGAAGATCTATAATGATATTTAATTGAACTATTCAATTCAATGTGAAGATAAGCTTCTTCCGGTTGTTTAAAATTTGGCCATTTAATATTTTTCACATTCTGTGGAGTTGGATTTCTAAAATTTTAAGATGATAATTATTATTACTGATGTAATAAAAATTGGCGATAAATGAGGTATCATAAATACTTAAATAGTACGTACAGTTAGTTTTCTCTTTGGAATCATTTTATTCTAGTTTGCATATCCCAATTATTAGCTGAGTTGATATTCCCAATGGGATATGAACCAGAGTCACCATTTACACAGCTAGATATGTCACTACAGAACTATTCGAGTCGTGAATGACCTGTAGGTCATAAATGTTTACACTAACCGACCATAATAGTTACTATTGTCCTGGGTTGTATATTTACTAGTACTGGTAGAATACTGTTTGACTTTGCAATGCGGGCTTCAGTTTAAGTGACTCCATTCCATGATAAATTATTTTTGGCTTTTAAGTAATTAGAGGCAATCAGCAACAGCCTCCGTATCTGTGTTTCATGTTAGTTAACGTTCGTTAGGAAGGTGTATCTACAATCTTACAAAACTGTTACACTGTTATCCCATTTCAATCTTTATTCAACAACTTACCCATATTTCACAAAATTTGCCCATAAATCCAATAAATATTCACTGATATTTGTATCATATGGATAAACATAATTGTCTGATACACATCGGGGTAACGGATTATTCTTACCAAATAATGTTAGCCAAATTGATTTATTCATAAAAGGAAATCCGAATAGAAAAGGCAATTCGATTCCATGATAAATTCCTAAAAATATAAGTAATGCAACGTGATTGTTGTCTATCAAATACTACTGTGAATATTCTTTAATGGATCATGTTCATCAGTAGTATATATGTCAACTTATTAAATATTTTTCACTGATATCAACTAAACAACAATGTTTTGTCAGAATATTTGATTTTTCTAAAATAAATTCGTATCTGAATTATCCATAGATTGGATATGAATTCATTTGAGAAAACATTCGAATTCTAAATCAAGAAAATGCAAAGTATCCTATAGACGTTCTGAATACATGGCATTCATTTCAATCTTTAGTCAATAGACATATCAACATAGACCTTATATACTAAATTATGGGGTAAGTGGTTAATTAGTCATGTATTTAAAGGTCAATCAAACGAAGTATTCAATATTAATGCGACGGTAATGAAGCCAATAAAGCTTCCAAAGATCCCATGCTACAGAGAGTATCATCACAACACGTTGAATAAGCTCGTGCAAAATAATTAAACCTCTCACGTTTACTTGAAATAAATTTTAATGATGATCAGAATGACAAATAAAGCCTCGTAATTTAATTACTGAACTCAGAGAATACAATTAAATACGTTCATCTGAAACTTCACATCAACATTCCAGCATAATTTTAGCTATTCTGGTTCATTGATTACCCATTTGGATATTAGTATCACATATTAAAATATCAACTTTGAAAGAACAAAGAAAGTCAACTGGCTTTGAAATGAATTCCTTGAAGTTTTAATGGGTAACTCTTAACTATAGAGTAAACCAATTTAAGAGTAAATTATTAAACTTGTGAATGACATTGAATAAGAGGGTGCTACTGCGAATTAAGATTGAAAATCTAGTCTTATCATTAGAAACATAAACACTATAATAACACAATTTCATTTAGCATCGTGAATGAACACCACTGATTTATTTATTTATTTATTTATTTATTTAAACACATAAACACTGGTAAGCTGGAGCAACAAAATATATATGCAGTACACTCATCATTTAATTTATATTTGAGCTAGAATACTGTCCAAGCGCTCAAACCGAAGCAGATGTTTTTCATGGGGGAACACTCCCCGAACCTTTGACCTAAAGGTCTGACCCACAAGGTGTTGGAGCAGCGTCAGGAGATACAGTCTCACGGTAGCTGGTAACCAACAATAGGTTCATACGCCATTTGTTTCCTTAGGATCGTAGAGCCCATCAGGGTTTTCCAATTCCCCTAGGTGGATCCTCCGTATCCACCAACCCGGTTAAAGCACAGGACATTCTCTTTTCGTACTCTCATTTTCGTAAACAACACCGCCGCCGCGAGAAAGCAGTGAGTAGAACTTCCCTGACAGTTGTTTTGTGCACGTGGCCATATGAGAACATTTCGAGAGAGAGCTGACTCTCTTCACTCTTTGACGTACCAGGATTTTGGGAAGGGGTAAGTTAGGGCGAAGAAGTTATTCAGTTCTTCCTGACTTTCTTGATTCGAAAGTTCTCCAGTTAACTATTTATTGCTCTGATTACTGAAAATTACCTTTGAATCATATAGAAAATCACTTAATCAAAATACACAATAACTATTTATAGTGAATTTAATCGAAACGAACAGTTATAGAGTGAAAACAAGAAAACACAATGAGTTCTATGAATAAGCTATAAATAAGTTGTGTTTGTTGTGACAGAGAAAAGATATGAAATAAACACTGTGATTCACATGTTGACCAATGATACTATCGCATGAAAATTCGACATTGTTATTTCAAACTCATTATACAAATTTTAGACTCTTTTTTCATAAATTACAGTCCAAATCGAATATAGCTAATGATTCATCGTAATTATCTTATACTGAAAGTAACACCACTTAACATACCATGAAGTGTTATTGTTGATTTACAAGATAATGTAGTTATCTTCTAGTATTACTGCGTTCACTGAGCTAGATGATTTAATTGAAAAGCTCTCGTTGTCGTTTTGGGTAATATCGTCAACACCTACTTTATGCAGTGAAGTTTGCGCTTATGGCCTTGATTGTCGTTGGTTATCCTCTTAGATTTCATTGTTTTGCCCCTTAGATCTTTGGCCAGGTTATTTATTACTTAACCTATCTCGAATGGATTAGTAGATCAAGTATAAACAGGTGTGCCTATCGGTCGCTCATTGATCTGAATTATTACCATACTGATGCGTTTATCTGCATAAAACTCACATGTAACTATCGAATTCAATCAGATATGCTAATTAGTTGTAAGCATACTGTTTGTCGAAATAAATTTATAAGACATTCAACATAACTATGTGATCAGTACGTCTATGCTGTGAAAAAGTTTGTTTCAAGATTATTACAGCTTTTTGACTCGAATACAGACATCCTGATGGCAAAGGTTTTTACAACTTAACCGACCCGATCTGCAGCAACATCATCGTGCCTTATTTACCAGTAGGGAAGATAATTTTTAAAACATGTCTAAACGTAATATATATAAATATTTTAATTTCCTGTAGTTCTAGTGAGAAGCAGTGACCAGTGGAATTCAACCGGATCTGTTGTGAGATAATAACTCACTGAATACTATGGTGGATATGTATCTCAACTTTTTGGATTTGTTGAAGCTAGAAATTAACTCCGTTTGACGCCTGCTCAGTGCTATAGTCTCGCGCGCGAGACCGGTAGATCCTGGGTTCGAATCTCGCGAGGCGGGATCGTAAGTGCGCAGTGCTGAGGAGTCCCACAATAGAACGAAATGGACGTCCAGTGCTTTCAGGTTTTTCATAGCGGTCTTGCTTCAATTGATTCATGATCTCAACCACTGATATTTCAGTTGTGCTTAAAATTCAAAGTTGACGTGAAAGAAAAACAAATCATGTAAGGCGGTTGAGGTTAGCCGATAGGAAAGTATGAATGACTTAGGTTTCGTGCTATTTGACACTTATTAGTAAGATGTGCATGCAGTCTTGAGAGAACTGGTGCTTCCAGTGAAATTTAAGAAGGCTTCAACCAGCTCCACAGTCTTATATATTACTACTGTACCACTCAAGACAAAAGAGAGATATTTACACTGATTGATCACTGAATAGTGACCAATGCCGTGTTTGTCTACTCTGAATTTAATTTCATCAAGCAAAATGTTATGTGTCAACTAGTCTGATTGATTCAACGTCACGTAAATCATATTAAGACATCCCCTCGAGATTGAAAGTATGCCTTGTTGATGAGTATAAACTTGAACGAACTTAAGTCAAGCATAAATTCCTAAGTACTACCTCCAATAAACTAGTATCAAAATATAGTACACGATATTGAGTCAATCAGACTAGTGGCAACACTACAACCTGATTAATAGAAATCGGTCAGTACCAAAGAACAAGTCAAACATAAAAGTGGTCAATACACAGTGATTTGTTACTCGCAAAGCAGAACATGTAATTGATATAAGTGAAGTACATGTCAGATACGTCAATAAAATATAGAACGCTTTCAGAATTACCAAAGCTTACAAGACCAACAAAATTATTCCATTTCTTAGTATTTAGAAAGAAAAGGTATGTAACAGTGAAAGAAGACAAGTTTAATACATTGTCTCGTAAATGTATTGAAGTTGAGAATGGTATGCTAGGAAATTCTAACTCAGTGGTCTAACTATTAAAAAAGTGTCTGTAAGATATAATGGTCATGTTACAGTCGTGGGTGTACACTTCAGATGAACCCCATACTAGGACGAAAAAACTGTCCAGTACTACTGAATTTTCAGTAGTATCCAAACTCAGGTTACTGTGACAAGAAAACCACCTATACATCTTTTCCTAGTCAAATTTCTCCCGATACAAAAAAACAATAGGAATGTCAGTCTTCAAAGAAGGTTCCTTAAATTTAGGTTTTCCATGGTGGTCTAGCTTTCATCGACTCGTAATATTTTGTCCTTAAATTTAAAAGAGATTTATGAGTAGTAATTGACTTGTTTATTTCAAAATAATACACATTAATTTATAAATACTTCATAAATTTCAATTATGTATTTGATAAACTTACCGATTTCTGGTGTTGCTTGTTTGTCATTTGGACTGGAATAGGAAAATTCATAGAAATAAACTGACGGTGAATAGACTGAATGATATTTTACAATAGAATCTAATGGTGATTTAATTTCCATATCTGAAACCAACTAAAATGTGAGTAAAATAATTGATTATAAACTCTCAAATATTTTTGTTAATAAACATACTACTTTTTTTAGTAAGTAGCTAATATTCTTCAGCTAACGTTTTTCACGGATTAGGATTTATTCATGTTACACAAAATTACATTGTGAAATATTGTATATATATATATATATATATATATATATATATATATATATATATATATATATATATATATATATATATATATATATATATATATATATATATATATATATATATATATATATATATATATATTAGATTATTCGAAATAGAATAAGTCCACTTTATGCCAAGATTTTGGCTAGTTGTGTTAGATGATTCACAGAATATGACTGAGCACTTAATACACTGGTTTCGTTCTATTGCATGATACCAGTGAGACTAGCGCTGATAACTGTATTGATAGTGGAGTGTGAGATCTTAAATTTCAACAACAAACACGAAAGCATTAACTATAGACGAATGGTCGAAATCTTTCAATTCAATCAATTTATGACAAAGCGTGATATCATAAACTTCATTTGCCTTACTCCTTAAATGATTGAATTCAGTTAATCATAACTTACCATCGAAACTTCCAAAGTACAAATTTTGTTTTTGTTCGAATATTTCTTGGTGATTAGTTTATATTAACGAATAACTCTTGAAAATGAAATAGATATTCAGACATTTGACAGTAACACTGACCTTGTACCTTTTTAGTTAGTCACTACGACCAATAATTTTTAATATTCTTTTTTTTTTTTATAAAAACAGGATATTACAATAAATCATTGTTACCATTAACTGAACTACTATTGTAGTGAACAAGAACACAAACGGAGACAGTCGAATGTACTTGAACAGGAAATTACAGAATATCTCACTAAAATCTGAGAACCATACAGTAAATATTTAATTTGCAAAATATTAATTTACTGCGGGCTCCAATTAATCCACCGGACATCGAAGCAGCTCACACAGATCTTCCCATAGATGTCAATCCACCAACGACGGAAGAAATCAGAATGGCCATCAGGCAAATCAAGAAAGGGAAAGCAGCAGGACCCGACAATATACCAGGTGAAGCACTGAAGTCAGACATCGAAGTAACTACAAACATGCCTCACCTTCTATTCAAAAAGATTTGGGAGGAGGAACAAGTGACGATGGACTGGAAAGAAGGACATCTCATCAAGATTCCGACGAAAGATCTGAGCAAATGTGAAAACTACAGAAGCGTTACACTACTGTCAATACCAGGGAAAGTATTTAACAGAGTGTTGCTGAACCGGATGAAAGGTGCAATAGACGCCCAAGTTCGAGATCAACAAGCTGGTTTCCGTAAGGATCGGTCGTGCACAGACCGAATTGCGACACTACGGATCATTGTTTAATAATCAATTGAGTGGAACTCGTCACTATACATCGACTTCATTGATTATGAAAAGGCATTTGACAGTGTAGATAGGAGTTCGTTATGGAAACTCTTTCGACACTACGGAGTTCCTGAGAAGATCGTCAACATTATCCGGAACTCATACGACAGACTACAGTGCAAGGTCGTGCATGGAGGACAGCTGACAGATACATTCCAAGTAAGGACCGGAGTCAGACAACGCTGTCTTCTCTCTCCCTTTCTCTTTCTTCTGGTGGTCGATTAGATTATGAAGACCTCCACATCTGAGAGGAGACACGGGATACAATGGACAGCTCAAAATCAATTAGCCGATTTGGACTTCGCAGATGACCTAGCCCTCCTATCACGTACACACGAACAGATGCAGATGAAGACAGGCAGTGTAGCAGTAGTCTCTGCATCAGTAGGCCTCAGAATACACAAAAAGAAAACCAAAGTCCTCAAATTCAAAGCGGAAAACAACAATCCAATCACTCTTGATGGTGAAACTCTGTAAAATGTAGAGTCCTTCACATACCTGCGAAGCATCATCGATGAACAAGCAGGTTCAGATGCAGACGTAGAAGCAAAGATCAGCAAAGCAAGGACAGCATTCCTACACTTGAAGAACATATGGAACTCAAAACAACTTTCAACCAATGTCAAAATGAGAGTCTTCAATACGAATGTCAAGGCAGTTCTACTGTACGGAGCTGAAACTTCCAGAACTACTACAACCATCATCAAGAAGGTACAAGTATTTGTAAATATCATACACATAGTTCCCTTTATCATTTTGAAAAGAGCAAGGACAAAGATTCTAGCAGAATAACATGGATTCATTTTATTTCGTAGGTTCTCGTCAGCTGCTTACAACCTGTGGTATTTAAAAGATAATAATTACATAATGGGTTTAAATTGCTTACATGAGAGGGTTTATATTGAAGAAATATTCGTAAAGTATGACATGGGTGTAAATGAAATTAATAGACTGAATATTGTAAATATATACTTTATGTAAAAGAATATTCTAGAGCACTAATCGTAACAGCAGTTCAGAAGGGTTAGAAACAATTGATTACATAAACAGCTGTCTACGCAAGATACTCAACATCCATTGGCCGGATATCATCAGCAACAGCGTTTTGTGGGAGAGAACAAACCAGCTTCCAGCTGAAGAGGAAATTAGGAAAAGACGATGGAAATGGATATCACATACATTGCAAATCATCAAACTGCATCACGAGTCAAGCCCTAGTAACTTGGAATTCTGAAGGGAAGCGGAAAAGAGGAAGGCCAGAGAACACATTACGTCGGGAAATAGAATCAGATATGGAAAGGATGAATAACAACTGGAAGGAGCTAGAAAGGATTGCCCAGGACAGGGTTGGATGGAGAATGCTGGTGAGCGGCCTATGATGCTTCACGAAGAGGAACAGGCGTAAGTAAGTAAGTAAGTAAGTAAGTAAGTGTCTCAAATCGAACTGTTTTTTGGCAAATATCAGTGCATCGTCTCAGATTTCATTGGTCCTGCATTTTCATGCCAATTAGTTTCCGTTCTCGTTCCTTCTTTCTCGATCTTTAACTGAAATACATTATATTCCCGACTATCGTTATATACTACTTATGTGGATATAAGTATCTCAATAAATAAATGAAGTGAAATATTCAAAGAGAAAAGCAGCCATTTAATTATAATAGAAACTGGAAATTTCAACCAACTAACAAAGATTTAAAAGATGAAATGTTTTCAAGAGCATAAGAATTCACAATGAAAAAGAAAAATTATATAGCACAGTTGATAAGGTTCAACATTTCTACTGAATGTTTTATTTGGTTAGTGTTTTTTTGGTGAGTTAGTTTTTTACGGGCTGGGGTCGCCAACCCCTTCCTTCATCCGAGTATGGGACCAGAGTGGCTCCAGGTGGAGTTTATAGATATACATAATATTTAGCTCCCAGGGAATAAATGCTAAGTGAATTATACTGTACAGTGTAAAATCCATCATTTTTCGATATTTTAAGTTGAGTCCGTGATAAAACCGATATAGCGGACTATATATATTTTTGTTAATATAAGCAATGCTTCAGTATGTAATTGAATTAAATTGATCAGTTTATCTTGACAATTATTTATACATGATTTCGACAGTCGAATGACATTTGAAACATTTGTTTGTAATTTACTTGAACGTAAATTCTTATATAATTGATTTGGGAATATGTGACTTGACAAACATGATCCAAAAAAATTTAAGAACATTATCCGGCATGGCTAAGAATAGGAGGAAACGGTTCAATAAGACGTTCAATAATTGAACACCTTGTGAACACAGGTCACTCAATCAAGACAGACTCTGAGTTCAAAGTCAACTACAAGGTAAGTAGAAGTCTTCTAAAGACAATTAGTTTGCATCTTCTTAGCACTACTGAAGTAATAACTATACATCTGGGTAAACCAGAATTGTCTGTTCAAAAGAGATTAGTACAATCTTTTTTTCTACCATGGTCTTAATGTCTTATAAGTTCTTTTCTTTTCATACTCTTTTCCCTTTATAGCCATTTGCTTCCCTTTCCATCTTCCTTAAATCTTCTACCCCCCTGCCAACTGGTTTATTTCTGATTTGATGATTAGATTCCTTGTTTTTGAAAAGTTTCAATACTTCTGTTTATTCTACCTCACTGTCACCGTATCCAACAGAAATTTATTATCAGTATTATTGTACAGCTTTGAAAATGAATTTTCCTAAAAGAGTACTTTTCACTGAACTAATCTTTCTTATTTATTATATTAATGGGTGTATTCTGTTTACAATAGTTAATGCTGACCAATACCATGTTTATCTGATTATTATTGTGCTAATTAAATTCAATATATCAGGTTTTCAATATTCATGGTCAACTGTCACATGACTGAATATTTAGAGTATTGTGTTTGGATTTTAGTTAGGTTATTGGAATTGGTTGTTATGGAACTTTGTTCAACTAATGCAAACATCAGTAAGATTATGTATAAAAAAAATCATTAAATTCCTTATTATTTTAACCGAACAAATGGAAGAGTGTTCATCATGTTTAGTTATTGGTTTATCAATTACATAACTATGGTTAATAAAATACATCTTGTATTTAATCCCTCTTATTATGATCATTGGCTATATATCGAATATATGTGATGTGGTGCAATTGTTTGAATCTGATACTGATATAAAATCCTTTTATATGCCAGCCTAACCAGCTACTTGAGTAAGAAAACTAAGAGTGAACAGAAAATTTTTATCTACTCAGATTGAATCAAATATACGTGGACAACTTATCATTAAATATAAACCGTTCTTATTTTAAATTAATAACATAAACCAATTTCCTTAGAAAGTTAGGAAAAATCTTGGATAATAAGATGCGTCTGATAGCATCTCTGACTTCTGATTTCTATCATATTCCGTTGACCCATCCGTTTCAACTTCGTTAATTTAACGTATATATCAAAATTGTAAGCTGTATTCCATAAGGATTTATCTCAGTTGAACTATCATTGGAAACTAGAGAGCACTAGAAAACTGTTTTGTCTTAATATGGTACTCCCCATAAGTGCCTACCTACGACTTTACCAGAAATCGAATCAAGAATCTTCTAATCTTGAAGCCTATGCTCAATTATTGAAATTACTAAATCGGAGTTCAGTGACAATCCTGACTTGAATCAATTTACAAAATAGCACAATGATTATCGAATCCAACTGGAGAAAACTGCTTCTCCGTTGACGTCTGTAAGCTACATCACTCACAACGTCTCTCCAGGACATCATGAACATTTAGAAGCAATATAATAGTGAACCGAATATAGCAATTTTAGTTGGGAGAGTTTTGTGACGACATAACCTGTAGCCCGATCTAGTGGCTTTAATAGTTAGGCGTTTGTAGCGATGCCTGAAGGTTCTTGATTTGATTTCTGGAAGGGCGGTATATATGCACTGGGATTTTCCACATTATAACAAAATAATCGTCTAGTACTCACTCGTTTCCAATGTCACCTCAAATGTGATCAATCAGAGAAAAATACAACTGACAAGTTAAATCAATCTTCACAATACCACTTCAAATATGGGAATTTTTTTAAATGTTTGTATCAAATCATACTGTTACTCCTTCTTCTTTAGGCCGTTTATATCTTTTACAAAGTTTGTTATTCAAGGCTTGTTCTAATGTATCATTGAAATAAGTAATTTAAAACAAAAATCTGCGTCCGAAATTATAGTAATATCAGTGGTAGGTGGAAAAACGCATATATATATGTGACGTAATATGAAACTTCACGACTGACAGAAAACAGCAAAAATAATCAACATATTTCTGCTACTATTACTAAGTATAAGCTGTATCACATAAAGTTGTACAGTATAGATCAAAATGGTCTTGTAAACTCAAGGGATATAATCTGAATGTACCGGTTGGACTCCGACTTACAGTGAATTATTCTAATAATTGATTTCATATCATAATCTCGTCATCCAATAGCCTTCTTTAAAATCACTTCAATATAGACCATAATATCGCTCTTATGAATAGGTAGTGGTTTAAAACCCTATCAGTTTAGTATTTGTGTTGAGTATCCTAAATCTAATCACTTAGTTCTTCCACCATACACAAGCAATCAGTTGAAGAAACATGTAGTTTGTAACCAAGAACTTACAGAAAACTTTTTTGTTTACAGTCTATGTCACATAATTTTGAAGTAAAGATTTAGAATTAGAATTACCCTTGATTATACTCATCTATCGGTATTGAGATGGACATTTCACCTGTACTACGGGTAATATCACATAATAACAAAACAATTGAATTGCAAATACTACCATATCGACAATATGTACATATATAAATCTACATAAACTTACGTCAACAGTACGTTTCCATCGTGCAGTATTATTCTCTAGATTCGACCACCATGTATAACGTGTATATAATTCTTCCGCAGTTTGATTATGTCGAAAAACATTTAAATCATTTAACAGGGTACCAATAAAACGTCTTACAATAGTATCTGTAAAATTTTCAATTGTGTAACCATATTGATCTAATTCTATGATGTTAAAAACAAATAAAGAATATTATAAATTCAATGAATTGCAAGCTTGTTTTACAAAAGAATAATAAGCAAAATATCATAACTTCTGAGATTTCATTAAATTAAACTAAACTAAAGATATTACTAGGTTATATTATCCAGAGTATATAGCTCAGGGTTGCTTTCACCTAGACGAAGCACTTGATCGGTGTGGTGACTGTGGTGATTGTTAGATTCTACTGAGATCAAGAAGCAACATAGGTTAGAAAACCATTGAGAACATTGAAAAACTGAACAGCTACTTTAGTCAAGTATGAAACTCCTTAGAAGTAAGCATCAGCAGCCCTGCCATCGGGTATGAAACACAAGAACTTCGGTTTGATGTACGAACATCTAATCTCCAGACCGCTGACGGTGGGATCATAGGTACTCACTGAAAATGAAAAGTTCTATATCAGAACAAAACAACTGTGCAGCGTAAATACCTCATTGACAACAATCCAATCAATATTGAAATCAGATCTAATTAGTAAATAAACACGAAACAACACAATACTATTCAATTTATATATATATATATATATATATATATATATATATATATATATATATATATATATAAATCTGTAAAAAAATAACTCTTACGATATAAAAAGTGTTCTAATGCCAGCGAACCTTCGTCTTTTACAACACCAGCAAGTAGTGGTATTTTAGCGAAATTACCTAATGAACGTTCTTTAGCTGGTGTACGTGGGAAGAAACCAGATATTCCGTCAACAACTGGTGTCCAGACAAATGATGGAGCTCCTGGAAGAGAGTGTAATTCACTACAAAAAGATCACAAACAGCTGGTTGATTATTAATGAAATAAATTTATAAAATTCTCATGAACTTAAACAAACTTGGCAAAGTTCGTGTAAACAATTATTTGTACAATTGAGATCGTAAACCGATCAGTGTTAGACCACCACTGAAAACTTGAAAGCACTGAATGACCGTTTCGTCCCAGTATGGGACTCCTTGGTGGTTCCCAGGAACTTCAGTTTCACGCAAACGCTTAGCCTCTAGACTACTTAGCTGGGATCCAACGGTGTCTAACTTCAACCAATCCACGATATTGCGCGACTATCTTCCATTGTCTTTGTGGGTAACTGCCTCACACTGGATACGGTTGAACTCCACTGGTCACGGTTTCTCACTGGAACTGCGAGTATTGCCATTTGATGCTAGTCAATAATGAGCACATGATAACCCTGTACCAATAATCAATTCTACAAATGAATGTTTTATCCTGATAATTTACTGTGGTCTTATCATATTTTAGTATATAATAAGAAAATATATTCATTATCATCTTTACCACTAATCTCAAAATCTACAGAAAATTATTTTTCCATCGAATTGCCAAATAACTAATACTCGTACACTCACACATATTCTTTCTGTATTTAGAGGTCAGCTTAAAAACAATTAGTGATAGTTTTATGTTTATCGTATTCCTCAAGTATTAAAATGATGCACTACAACTTTTGTGTAATTGGAAAGGGAACGTCTAAATAACTATGATGATAGATAATTCAAAGTAAGTATCTTATAGCACCATACTGACTTTATGAATGATGAAAATGATGAATAAAGCATGATATGCGAATTCCCTATTTAATTTCGTATATTATGGTTATACTAATCTTTATTATAAAATAGCCGTAATAAAAGTCAAATACAAAATGTGTTTTTTTGAAAAATTTATTGCAAGCATTCATTTACATAGAAATAAAATAAGCACAAACATTAGCATTATTGAGTAAACAATTTAAGTAGACGTGATTTAACATTTATAGTCTACAAGCTAAAGATGGATAACAAATAAACTAAGGGATAGATATCCATACACACACATACATACATACATACACACATAAAAACGCTTCAGGTCACAAGTGACTAATTGATGATGTCAAGTATATGTTTACAAAGTGACTCAAAAAAACTAAATTGCTTTGTCTGTTCAAAAGGTATAAAAGCTATTACAGTACTTACCTTAAAATATAGAAATTTGACGAAAAACGTGATTATTATCGAAGGTAAACTACATATGAAGGTTATCGTTAACGATATTAAATGGAATCAATGATGAGCACTGAAACTTAGAAAGTCTTCAGAATTATCACTAAAGAACAGGTTACACATCCGGCTGACGAATCCCAAATACAGCAAGACGTGCGTCCTGGATTTCACTGCTAGCCATTACCCATATCCGCTTAATAATGCTTATAACTTAGTGACAATATTTAGGCGATCGTCACAGGATGCACATATTTTACAAGTAACTAATCAATTACAATCCTAAACACCAGTGGAAAGATACAAACAACCAATACTTATAAGCTTATGTTACGTTCACTTCACTATTGTAATAATCCTTTTCTGACTATGATTCACTTAGACAGAATAAAAGTGTACTGACTATGCTAGAACCACTTTAGTTTATGAGGAATATGATCCTTACTAAGTCACTGGCTTTCATCACGTTAGTTTCATTGTAATTCTATTTAATAAAGCTATCAAATAGTTTTATTTGTGACTTTATATAATTAAACGTTTTATAACCCCGTCTTCAACTTCTAACTAGCTTCACTATTCATTGTAAACTCAATCCATTTGCAGAGGATGAAATGACTTAGCATAGAACAATAATGATTTGTTCACTCTATGCTAAGAAGTGATTAAATTAGAAGTCACCACTTCAGACTCTTGATTGATGAGGTGGAAATTTTTCTACTAGAGATTTATATTAACACGTAATCTAAACGTAAACCTTTTGGACAGTTTAGTCTTCCATTGAACTAATCAACAAAAACCAACCAATCATTTTGACATATTAATGTATGTATGTAAAAAAAGTCTTGTTTTTTTTGACAAATGTCAACTTATTTCGTAATCACAGATCAAGTGTTACCTTCAGTAAAAGTAAACCGTACCAAAAAAATCCCAGTCAGATTTAAGATATAGGTCTTTGGATCTCTGATCAAAATTCAAAACTCAATGAAAAATAACTTGACTGATAAGGTGTTCTAGGTTGTCAGCATAGTTTAGTTCTACTGTTACTTTCTGATATCCAACGAAACAGTAGGCTCTGGCGAAAGTAATTATGTTTATTGTCGTTTCTTGTATATTATCAGTTTTTACTTATTCAATTCACTCAATATACTTAATAAGTTGTGTTTTGGAAAAAAAGGGCAAACTATTTGTTGAGATTTCAATTTAACAAAAAGGAGAATAAATATAAAAAAAACACCTACAGGACAGCATCATTAATTTGTTCTGCAGTCTTCTCATATCTTAAACAATAAATTAATGCATATGCATCCACTTGTACAGAATATGGTATAATTAAAGGTTGTTTCACATATGATTCACCAAATGGCAATTTTAATGTTTTATTAGTATATGAACGATGCAAATTAGCATTACGTATATATTGTTGTGATTCATTTATAGCATTAACTTGAACTGAAGAACAATTTAATCGTTGAGCTAGTTCAATTGCATAATAACGTGTACGAACTTTGGCTGGGTCACTGAATGCCCATTGGGATAAATCAGAACCGGACATCATTATTGCTTGGTTGAATAAATCTGAAAATACGATATATAAGAGATTATCAGGTGATCTTGTGATTATTAAGGTTATCCAGAAAATGGTTTATAATAAAACTGGAATAGTTATCAACTGATAAATTGCCAAAAAATAATTGACCTTACATTGTCCACTATATATATGCATAAATACTGGTTCCCCAGAGAACAGCATCCAAAGTTTCGCACATTTATTGGTCGAATTCTAGCAATGACATCTTGAAGTTGCTAAATGTTGAGTACTATAAAATAAGTATAAAGTACGTTAGGTGGTCATAAGTAGTTGACAGAAAACCCTGCCCCACAAAAGTTTTGTGTTAGTTGACACTCGTCAACAAACATGTCTTCAATCTTGAGGAAAATGATATTCCTTGTGGTTATGTCACTCAACTTCACAGAAATCACAAGTATCTCAGTTCTACAGGATGCCATTCGCGGTTCTGGTAAAGTAATGGTAGCAATTTAGGCTCTAAAGTTGATTGCAACGAGTCTGAACCCCACAGACAGCAGCAGAGACCTCAAGATTTCAGGTTCGCCTTGTTGGCTGGTACTAACTAGCAAGAAATGAAGGTCGATTAGGGTGTTCTGACGACTATTTCAAACCACTCAACACCTTTAACGTGGATTCGTTAAACAACTGGTTTATAGTTATTTAATAATGCTTTAATTGTAAGCTTTTATTTGGTACATAAACTGCTACCATATCTGTTTCCGTTCATAAGTTACTAACAGTTAATAGTAAACCTTTAATTCATGTGAGTAACACAAATGTCCTAGTCATGTAATATTGGGGTTTGCCGTTTATGATAGGTCATCACCCTGTATTTTACATGCGTAATAAAATGAGTTTTAAAATTTGAATAAGACAGAATCATACATGGTCCTTGTTTGGCCGTTTTGGAGTTTTGATTATAAGATTAGAAACAGATAAGAATTTGATCGTTTCACGTGTACAGTAAACGCCTTACCGGACTTAGTATTGACGTATGCGCGAAAACCAAGACGATCATAGTATTGTTTTCTGAAGTCCCATTCAAATACATCAAGTTTCCAACTCAATCTATAACCCATGTGGTGGAAGAAGCCTAAGGCTGTGTAAAAAACATTCTTCAAAAAGCTAAATAGTTATGCTTACAACACACAAGGGTGGCGATTGTTATTTGGTGGAAAATTCAATTTCAACAACCTACTCACACATATCTCTCACAATATAGCCATCAGATAACAATTGGATTGTCCACCCTCGACGTGCATATCAAATTCATCATTTACAAACTGCACTAACTTCGATGTAATTATAAACTGGTGAAATTTTAATTCAACAGTTATACGTTGTTTTTTTTCATCAACTAGATTATGAAAGAACTGACTGCTTTTGTCAACTATGAAAAAACTATAATTATATTCTGTTACATTGTATGCTATTAAAACTTATCCATATAATAATTCTACCGTAATTAAATCATAGAAAACCATAATATGATGTAGATAATTTATTTTAAAATAACTCAATCACAATCAAATAATCAATGTTACAACAGAGCAGACAATCCAAACCATGGATAAAGGACTGAGGCAGAAGTATACTTTCTGGATGTGATCATCAGAACCGAGAATGTGACTTTTAGGATTTTTCACGAGATTTAAATATCATGTATAACGAGCTGTAGAAATACAGTTTTTGCTGTTTAAAACATTTTAAATAGTTGCAGAAAATTATTTTTTTACCATTACAGAGTGAAAATAAAATAACCTATCAGCTGCTTGGTTCCGTTTCTGTAGATTTTATATAACATGAAAACTGACACTTCTCAAATATTAGCCTTAAACACTTAACCATGAAGCAAACCTAAATGTGGTGGTACTACATTTTATGGATGAACTAATCAGATAGTCTAAATTCACTTGGTGTTGTTTTGCTTGTATCTTCCCATTGTTATTTAGGACTGCAATTAATGAATTTCATGTAGGCATATGTGCATCCTGTGCGGAATGCCTCGATATAACCTTTAGTCCCAAGCTTTTTAAGCAAAGATGGATAGTGGCTAGCGAACGGTACTGGGTTCGAGTCCCGGAGTGGACATCAAATCTGGAATGCAGGTACATCCGGCCGACGAGTCCGAAATAGCACGAAACGTGCGTCCTGTGTTCCACTGCTTGCCACTATCCATCTTTGCCTAATCACATAGCCCCTCTTGTCTTTATGAATGAGATTAATTTACTTGTATAAACTATAGAGCTTTTTTATACTATAGTTGATGTCGTTTCATGACTAAAACCACACTCCTTACCCCCAAATACCCAACCACATCTGGGAACAATAAAATAACTTCTAAAGGTCTCTTTGATTCCTTATAAGAGTTTGAAAAGATAAACAACTCTATTCATAAGGACGAGTTTATATTTCGTTGTGTATTGTTTTTTTTTCGACTTACAGGCAAAGTAACCAATAGCAGATATTTATGGGTTTATTAATTACGTGTAGTTGGTTCACATTTTCTAATGGTGTTATAGTTTTCTTTTACAAAAAACAAACTGCTAATAAAAGCTGCTATCTGATTGGATAAAAACTAGTTTAAATTCTTCCCGACAGATTGAAACTCACCCTGAAAGTATACCTTTACCGTAACTGCTTTAATAATCTGTTCACTTGATTAATAGAGCATTTTTTTTGCTTCAAACTGTTTGGGATCGTTATAACAGGATTAAAGTCTTCAGTAATACTTAGTTACTGTGTGGTACTCCAAAACAATTTCAATCAATGATTCAACCTATGAACAAAATCATTTCATCTCAATAAACCTCTCAAATCAAACTTTTGTGTAATGATAGTTATAATTAACAGCCTGATTTCTTGAAGTCATTATATATTTAGTGGAAACGTTTTGTGGAGATTGTTGAATTTTACAGTTTACACCATAATGTAACATTATTTGAAAACCAAAAGACATTTGATATCGGTGTAAGATGAATGCTTAACATTATGAAATGGTTGAAGTTAGTAATATAATCCAATGGATGATATATCTGTGGTTTAAAAGTTAGGCACACAACCACGAGACATGCAGGCCGTTTGGTCTAATCGTCAGTCAGGTTATAGATGTTTATTACCAATGTATCATACCAAGACGTAATAATTGTTCAATACCTCCTGGTTTATAAAACTATAGTCTATTCATGGTGTAACCTATGAAATTTCAACATATAAATGAAAATTTTAACTACCAAACAAAGTCATTATAGACTTTCTGAAGGTAAAATAGAGAGTGTTCAACTTTGGAAAATCTAAGTTCCATAAATTTTTATTTAATGATTGATTAAACTACAATCATTATTTTAGATAGAAAATATCTAAATACGTTTTAGATTGACAAGTTAAAATTGGATATGTATTCGACTAGATTATATAAATGTTATGAGAATATAAATAGTCAGAACTGTTATTATATGAATAAATAAACAGGTTGATTGTCCATATATTATATCCAAAGATTAAATAGACAGATAATAGATAAATGGTTATATGATTGTCTCAACCAATCCAACAATACAAAGACTGAATTAACGAATCTGACTCCGATTGGATTGTATGCTGATTGTCATTAAAATACACATGTCGGCTATCCACGTATATTTCAACGACTTAAATCGCGTTCGTGAATAACAGAATTAAGTAAGTCGAATACGAGAATAGATTTTTGAATACATATATTTTGTACACTCAATGATCGGGACAGGAAGTGAAAGGGATGAAGCAAATAGAAGAGATCGAAGCGAAACGACGCGCGGTGGAGAAGGCGTGTGAGCCAACTCCATTGATTCAAGCGTTAATTAATGTTTATAGCCAGATAAAAATGAGTTACAGACATGTGATAAATAGGATAAGACGTGCACACAGACATACGCTCATATAAAAACAGTCAGGGTTGATAAGTGAATAATTAACACGGTCAAAACATGACTCGAGAATGGATGAACTGGTCTGTTCGAAAGCTAGAATAAGGTATATGGGCTTAACGTAGCAAGTGGCACTACAACGGTAACATGATTTCGCATGTATTTATCAATGCCAGTGTTATCCTTGATAATTTCGATTTTATTAAGCAATGGGTAGAAAGTTATTAAATATATATATTTGTGATATCTCAATGAGCAGAAAATTTCATTTCTGATGATTAGTGACTTAATGAAAGTCACTTATTTAGGGTGTATAAGTTTTATTTCGGTCTTTGGTTTACTGTGAATAATAGACTTCCAAAAACTCAGGAAAAGTTATTAATGCAACTTTCTACATATTGAGATATCACAAAAATATATTTATTATTTATGATTTCACATAACACAAATTATGGAAGCTTTGAGATGATGGTTGGTGGTCGTCAACAGGAAACCCTGGACCTAGGTTTCGAGCTACTTGGCATTCGTCAGCAAGACGTACCTGTAATCTTGAGGGGACTGATGCTCCCCGACCAATTCGATCCTGTGTCACCTAGGTTCAGGGTTTCCTGTAGACTATCTCCAACCACCATCTTATCTCAACATAGTGCACGCAATGTAGAGTCACCTAGACTGGGGACCACATTGCAACTTGGTTGATAGGATCCGATCTGCACTAAGAAGGACCTGATATACACGATATTAATCGCCACCCAATGATCCATCAGTTGTAAATACGAAAACTTTCCTACACATATACTTTTAGATTTACTATTAATTTTTCAAAATACTTTCAATGTTTAATAATATTTTCAAAATGAAAATTTTTTCCACTTTCAACAAATTAAAGGTAATTTTTAAAAAAAATCCGGCATTCATTAAGATTGAATATAAACAAAGAAAAATGAATAAATATGAGTCACAGAAAGAGTCATCTATGTAACCAAGCGGACCAATTAGAGAAATCGGAGAGACTATAATTTACGGACGAACCAATCACATATAAGATAACAGGTCTCGGATTTTGGCGCGAAATTCACTCATTCATTCGAATAAATAGTTTT